TAGAAAGGAGACATAAAGGAACTCTAATTTTAGTTTAAATTTCACATACTTTTTCAGGCCTGTCACTCCCAATTTCTGGAAATCGGAAATCTTAAAGATACCATAAATTCAGTCACTTATGATAATTACCTTGTGCCCTATTAATTAGCTCACCAATAAATAGATTAAGGCAAGAGAGGGATGATATTTTAAGAAACCTATAATTTAGGGTACTTTTCAACATTATCTATTGGATCAGATAATGGAGACCATGTCAGCCTAAGGATCCTGAGACTAACCACCATGAACAATCTCATAATCACTGGACCAATGTCATCCTCATGTTTCTTTGTATACCCACCCTTCACCAGGTTTCCTTTAAAAGAAGAGCCAGGAAACTTAAAAAATGAGTCTCTCACTCTCAAGATGGCCCACATTCTACCTTGAATGTATGTTCCTTGCTTTTCTAAAATAAATCTGTATGCCTCTAGTGACATGTGCCAAAATTCTTTTCCATGTGAGTCATCAAGGACCCCACTGGTCCTGACTTGAGTTCCTCCCTCTTGGGGAACTCCTCGGGACACTCTTCCAGAGATGTCTCTTCTCTAGCAAGAGGATGACACAAGAAGGCACATGCCCAATGCCAGCCCTTTAATCTTCAACTTCTCAGCCTTTACAACTGAGAAGGAAACCAATTTTTTAAAAAAAATTCTTTACAAATTACACACTCTTGGTCATCCTATGATAGCAGCACAAAATGACTAAGATAGAGTTATCATGAATATATATGAAATGTTTAGAAGAGTGTACAGCACATTGTAAGAATCATAGTCAACATTACTAGTATCGATTTAATAAAAAATTCATCGAATACACATAAATGGGCAAGGAATTGCTTAGCTAGTGATTAAGGTATGAAGGATGGGAGGAGGAAGGATAATGAAAAAGTCAGAAAAGGGAAGTCTAAGATGGCTCTCAGTTTTCTGACATGGACACTCCATGAAACAGGAACCATTTACTAAGGGAAATACAGTAAAAGGAGCAGGGAGAAGAAACTTCCATGTTCAAGCTTGGGGTTATAATTTCCACTGGTTTATTTCAAGTAGCCATTACCTCTCCGAATGTGGAATCAAATGCATAGTATTTTTAAAATAACCTTAAGAGCCAAGAAAAGCAAAATTTTCAGTTGAATCAGAAAAAAAGTTTTCAGAAATGGGGAAAAGTAAAGGTTTATGGGCCCATGTTCCTATTCCAGACAATCCTTAAGGGAAACCATTAGTGGAACTGGAAAACATTGCCAGAAGATGTACAATAATGGGTCAGTCGCCTTCCTTCCTGGCACTGAGGCATGGATATGAGTGCTAGTCTCCTGTGCTTCTCTACAGACCCCATGTGGGTCAAGTTCTAGGTCTCAGCTTGCAGTGCTGCTTTTTCTCTAAAGCAGCCAGTGTGCAAGGAATAATTGCTGTAACCATGGTGCCAGATTTGAGAAGTTTATATTATTAATAACAGCAATCATTACTTATTCAAAACTATATGCAGGACATTGCAAAGTATTTTACATATATTACTTAATTAGGCAAGATTTTGTGCATCTGTAGAATATTAGAGCAAGAAGGAGCCTAAGAGCTAATAAGGTCTGAAGCCACGGAAGGGATCAGATGGCTTGCCCAAGTTCCCACAGCAAGTTATTGTTACCAACAAGCTGGCATTGCAATAAGGCTGACAAATATCCAACACGACACTATGAAATCACTCCGGCTCCTCAATCTTTTTTCAGTTATTGACAAAAACAAGTCGTCTCCATGCCTTGTGTCTTTTCCTCACAGTTTAATGAACTTTGCATTTGACAACCCTTAAAAAATAAAGACGGTATGATTTTCCAACACATAGAAGTGTGTCCTTTTGTGTTTTATGAACCTGGCCCACTTAAGTCTTTGAGAAACTTAATTACAATGAGCCAAATTACTGTTCTTTTCCCTGATTTTTATTATAATTTATAATTTATTTGTAACACCTTGTTTAAAAAAAAATAGGCAGAAAAATGGTGATAGAATTTTGTCTGTGTATGTGTTGAAGAAAGGAATTTACCTGAAATTTCTAGCTCCTGAAAATCAGCTAGTACATGTATTCTGCTCTGTGAGCCTGCACCTTTCCTTCCCACTGTTTCAAGAAAGAATAATCACACAATTTGGGGGACTATTTTCCTTCTGGCGAAAAATGGCCTGGTAAATCCCTGAATGATCGGGCCCCTCACTTCTCCCCAAACCTCTCACATGCTCTGTGTTCTGCTTGTTGAAAATCCAGATGCTCCGGGCTCCGGCTTGGTCTCTCTGCCTAACATCTGATTTGAAACATAGCGCTGAAACCATCTGCTGTATTTGGGGAATAAAGGGTGGGGTGAGTAATGCTTTTTACGAATGTGTCCAAATAGGGCAATCAAGAGGAGGATAATAAGACGGGATGCCTGCTTGGTGCCGAACACTCCTATAGGCTACTCAGTGGCTTTTCGGGATATTTGTGTTCACTGCCTCACACCAAGCTTGCCTCAGCTTGTGCATCTTACCGTTTCTTGGCAGTAAGATATTTGTTATGTGCCCTGAGTAAACCGAATGTTTTTAATGGCGACGTGAGAATTCTGAAGTTCAAAAACAGCCTGCGATGGATTGAAATGTTACTATTCTTGAAAGATGCACTGGAGCTCTTCAGCACCCTTTGTAACAAACGTGCATCTGGAGCAGCTAGGATTCTCGTTTCTTTCCTCACGATGGACCTATTTCCAACCGAGCTGGACGTGTGCCCTTCCAGCTCTGTGCAGGGAGTTTGGTGGGCTGTCTGCAGGTTTTATTGAACATCTGTAAATCCTCAGCTTGGGTGTGCTTCCAGCTACTACTTTAATCTGTTCCTGGGATACAGTACTCTAGGTTTCGAGAGCAAGAGTCGGGGGAGGCATCTCTCTCACTGCTGCAAGTAGAGGAATGAATAGTAACCTTGGGTTTCCAAATGCAATAGAAAATGATGGGAGTTCTTAGGAAACTGCAGATATCTTCCTTAGCACAATGTGCTTTCTTTTTTCCGGAGAAGTGAAAACTCTGTGAGGAGTACTTTTCAAGTTATTGTAGATGAGGCATACAGGGCTGCATGGGGCAGGAAAATTATACATGAATTTTCTCAAATATTTGTTCTGAGTGAGGAGTATGAGAACAGTGATACATCTGTGGCACTCAAATAGACATTTAATGGAGATATGTGGAACAAGTGAAATATTGAGAGGATAGGAAGGCTGCTGTCGTGAAGGTGTGCAGAGTGTGCACCGCACCTCAGGAAACCATGCCTAGCCACATCTGTACTGGTGGCCTCTACCAATCCTTGGTGCATAACACCTGGCAGAAGTGGATCTGCATGCCACCAAAACCTGTTGATTTGCTGGTTTATTTGTGCATTTTCAGAACTTGAGCTTATGTGCACTTCAGCATCTCCACAGAGCACACCGTGGCTACCTCCAATTGAAAAGCCACCTAAACCTGTTCCCCAGCGCTTCTGCGTGTCTAGACTGAAAGGGTCTGTTCACTTCAACCAGACTTGTCAGCATGTTTCAGTCTCTCAGGAGGGAGTCTTTGCCGAGAAATTTTTCGTTTTCATTCCACAGACATGTGAAGTACTCCCACAGTTTCTCACACAATCTGGAATGTTCGAATATTCTTTTCTAATCTTTGAAGACACTAACGCTCAATTTAAAACTTTAAAATACAAAATTTCAAGTCAATAGAAAGTGCTTTTTTTTTTCTACTAGAAAAATCTATAATAAAGCCTAAGCAAACAAATCAACCAACCAACCTAACAAACAAAAACAAAATTCCAAAAGTTGATGGAATTCTCTGAACATTTCAGCCTCTCCCCCTCCCCCAACACTGCCTGAGGAAGCTGAAGCTACTTTATGGCCCTGGGTTTTCTTGCCATCACCAGAATACTTAAAAAATGCATATGTCTATGGATTTAACTTGGAGGCCTCTTCCTTTGGTCTGATGAATTGTCCATCCTTTATGTTAAAGAAAACGTAATTCTTTTAAAGAATGTAGTCTGCTTTAAAGAGCATCCCCCTCTTCACCTTCTTTAACAGTTCAAAACTAAAAATAATAATAGTAAGAAATGCCACTTATGGATTTTCTACTAGGGGCCAAGCCCTTTGTGAATACTGTCTTCAACTTTGTGACATCCTGTCTTCAATCTTGTGACATCCTGTCAAGCTATTCTTACTATCCCTATATGAAAAACTAGAAAACCAAGGCTCAGAATTAAGGAATTGATTGAGCTTATAGAGCTTAATAAGAGATGAAGTTAGGATCTGAACTCAGTGTGTCTGATTCTTAATCCTATTATCCCTACTGATGTGATTAATACCTTTCTCTGGACTTAAATGTATTCTAGGAGAGGACTAAGAGTGTTGAGGAAACTGTACTTAAGAGACATATTGCTCAGTGGCTTCATAATTACAAGAAACTTTACATGCATGACTTAGTTCTCACAACAACCCAGAAGGCGGGTTTTTCAACTTTTAAGTCACCCCAATTCAGTGATTCTCTTCAAAATCACTGATATGGTGTAGATAAGCCCAAGACATTGCAGAGACATTTATTACAACTTCCCAAGACTCAGGTAGCACAACATACATCCTTCATCTGTGACCTGCTTCTGCCTGATTCCAGTCACCTAGTTTCAACACCAAAACATAAAGTTTTTCACCCTGAAACTTAATTTTGTCTTTCTGATTTATTAACTGCTCCTCCATCCATTTCACCAAACAGACTTCCTATCAATCTGCTATTATTTAGCTCATCTCTGGTAGGATAGCACATCCAGAACCAAATTAAGGTGGAAGATTGTCAGCTCAGTTGGGACTTTCTACCCATGTTCCAACCAGATCTGCTCTATCGTTATTGTTATCTTTTTTTTCAACTACTGAAGTTCTGAATAAGATGACAAAGTTAAAAAAAAATTAAAACCGTTTATTTTGTCTAGTCCCTTTATTGCAAACATGGGTAAAATGTATTAGAGGGAGGTTGTTAACAGCTAAGGAAATATCCCAAATACCAATGTTGTCTGTTCCCTTTTGTGAATCACTGAAATATATGGTGGGGTACAATGCCAACCTGCTACTGTTAGATACATTGTGGTCAGATATAACCTACAATTTGTATGCTTCCAGAAAATGTCATTCCCATTTTTTGGCAGTGGGGCTCACTCCACTTGAGATGGATGAGAAACATTCTTTGGGAATAATAGTGTCTTCCCCCTTAGAAACGTTTCATGTACTGCAAAGTTGCTGCCATATGGTTCCCATAAAGGTTCTGCCAAAATCCCCGTGGTTCTCACAAGAGCTCCTACCTCCTCTGTTCTTTTAATCTCCTGCTGCGGGTGGCAGACATGGGAGAGACGGGCAAGCTGCAAAGAGAAGGCGAAGTGAAATTAAAGCCCTACAACCATGTTTGTGTGGAGGTAGATGGGTTCCCCCTCGGTTTGTTCATGGAGGTGGGTGTGAGATCCCACAGGACTGTCTGGAAGAGATCCCATGGAAGTCACTTTATTTTGCCCAGAAGCTGGAGGAGAAGCAGAAGGCAAGTTAAATTATGTCTCTTGGAAGGCCCTGGTGGGGGTGATGGGAGGGGTGGGGGCCGTGAGGCTTTAAGGGGCGATCTTAAGGGGTTTTTACTCCATGGAGGTAAGAGAATGGCACTTAGAAGCTAGCCTTGTTTTGCAAAACAACATAACAATGTGTGGAATAGGACAACACAGAGAGAGGACACCACTCCTGTTTATGTGTTCTGGCAAGTGAGGGCGGGGGAGGGGACAGGCTCCATGCCCAAGTGGGGACTGGACTGCTTTCTTTTCTCTGTTATGATTGCCTTGAGTCCCTTCTGTTTCTTGCTTAGCTATATTAGTGTGTCTTCTCCAACCCCCACCCTAAAGTCTATGGATTCAAGCAAATGCCAGCCTCCCTCTTTTGAAAATTGCAAAGTCCTCTTGAAGGTGAATGGCAGCCTTACAAGACAGGCTGGTAGAGTTTGTGGTTACAGAACATATGCGACTGCTTGCTAATTTCTGAGTGCACGTTGGTTGTGAAATCCGTTCCTTGCGATGAATGAACAGTTATTAACTCTGGAATAGTACTCACTAAGTTAGGAATGGGTTTATTTTGTAAACTTGCTTATGTGCTTGTTTTGTTTTTAATAACAACTTACATATATCATTTCACCTGTTTTCATTGTGCTGTGACTATTCGACATAGGTTAGGCAAAAATAAATAAATAAATAAACTTTGGTTCCTGCAAATGCTTCCAAAAATTATACTAAAGAAATAAAATCTTTAGTTTGATCTTACTGAGCCTGGCAAGCCCAATGGGGCTTATATGTCTGACCTGATGTCATTTATTCCCCAGTTTTTGTGTGTTTGACTCATAAAGAGAAGATTTGCCACACATGTTGGGGAGTGGTGAGACGAGATAGTCACCAAGGAATAGCATCCATGCTGGTCCTTGTTCTAGCTAGGGGTCTATCTGTGCAAATTCTTTGAGTGCTCTTTCTCCACCTTTAAGATTCTTGTCACTGCACCGAGGTATGGGCAGATTTGACTTGCCCTTCCTGTCTACTGTGTTCAGGGTCCTGCACCAGCTTAGAGTGGTGCCTCTGAGCTTGGGGGTGGGCCCCCAAATTCTGCCTGATTTAACGAGAGAGTGTATGGATCTCACTCCTGTCTCCCTCTCCCCTATTTGAATTGTCTCTGCATGCTAGAAGAGGAGATAATTAAATCCATCGTTGAAGGATACAGAAAACAATAACACCCTCCTCCTTGCCTTATTCTGAGGGAGTGCAATTCCTTAAACTACCAGGTTGTCTTGTCAAATGAGTTATTGTTTTTTCAAAATATAGCCTGAATGGCATCCTTTATAATTAAGGCTTCTGGCTTTCAGTTTAAAGTGATATTTGCCAGTAAAAGCCTGCCAAAAAATAAATAAATAAAAGCAGGCTTACCGTTAAATATTGATTTAAGCCGGGAAACTGGCTCCAAATTTTGTTATACCAGTCTTGATCTCCACGGCCTCTGGGCATCTGTTTCAATTTGGTCAAATTGAAATGGGGAGGGACAGTGCCAGGCTAACAGCAAGGTGATCCAATATAGTAGGATGAGTTGTATTTGATGAAAAAGAGCCAGGCGAAGTCATCTGCAGGTCCTGAGGATAGGTGAACTGGACTTGGATAAAATAAGATCTGATGGTCGTCTTAACCCATCCTGTGGGCTAACCCGAGCCAGTGACTATTTTTCTGAAATGTAAAAAGAATGTTGAGTTAGCTTTGGAGAGCAGTGTGTTTTGTCTGTTTTGCCTCTCTCCATATCCTGTTATGCTCAGGCTTTCTTTCCAACTGGTCTGGGTGGGCATTTTTCCCCCATGATCCTTCATGTCATTGGTAGGGATGTTAAATAATCCAAAGACAAAATTTTCCCCTATGAACCAAATTTCTCAATGCTTCCTGCAAGGTTTTTTGTTTTGTTTTTCCTATCTAGGGAACAGATAGGGTTCTCAGGAGAATTTTCTTCTCCAGAATGTATATATGCTTGTGAATTGTTATTATTCATCTCTGTCTCTGACAAGAGAAGGCAAACAGGAAGAGGGAGGGTTAAAAGTTCTGAGGCAAAAAAAGAAAAAAACAAAAAGAGGGACCTTGATAAAACTCAACTCCATGGGTGCAAAGTGCCTGAGATCTATTAGTTTTGACAACCCCAGTTATTCCAGTGTCTCTCGTCATCTGTAAAGTTAACAAGGGCTGATAAGAGATGATGAGGCAGGTACTGGTTTGTATTTCCAGACTCATAAATATTTCACAGTACCATTTTCTTACAATCTGATACATTAGTTTGCCAAGTGGAGATGCTGCTGGATGTTGTCTCAGTGCTGGCGTTTAACAAAAGCCCTGCTTTTAAATCGAGGGGTGGGGAGGGGGGCCAGGTATGCATAGCCGGCTGCTCTAGCTTGCTTTCAAATGCGTGTTCTAATTCCAGTGCTGGAGTCGGTATTTGACCTCTAGAAACCACTGCTGTCTACCCTGAGAAATATATTGTTATGCTCTACGGGCAAAAAAGCATCAATCTTAGCCACACTCAGGTCTTCTTTCTCATTCTCTAGCCCTGCCAGTGCCCTTGTGTTTCTTTGTACTTTACCCTATGGACAGTTGAATCAGGCACCAAAGGGTGAATTTAATTTGGAACAAAACTCTGTCTTGATAGAACTGCCTTTACTGGGGCTCAAACACAGCAACCTGCAATTTCCCGAGGCCGGGGCTCACCTAGCGCCATCTCAGGCTCCAAAAATTAGGTCCAGCCTCAGCATCTCTCAGAGCTAACCCAAACTACAACAGAAAGAGGGGCAGGGACACACGAGTCAGCCAAGTAGCAATGGCTTTCTCCCTGATATAATCAAATGGAGTGCACGGATATCACTTGATTAACAGCTGCGGTATTAATTTCCCTTTTTTGCTTGCTTGACTCACAGCAAGAATCATGTCAAGGCAGCAGAGAAGCAATTAAATTGATTTTAATCTTTGTCAGAGAAGATAACATGCCTCTTTCTCTTCTCATTTAAATAATTAAAGTTTCAGTAGGTATTATTTCTGGCTTTAAAGAAATTGGTATCTTAATGTAATAGAATCCTTGTAATTATATACTTAATGGTTCTTAATAAGTTAATCATGGTTTTTCATTTAACATGTATTTTTTACTTATTAAACTTTTATTTGTTATAGTATCTTTGCTTTCAAGAAGAAGGGGGAAACAGAAAGAACGAGAGATATAAAACAGTTCTGTCATTTCTCATTATTAATCCTTTCAACAGCTGTCTCCTCCTCCCTTCATGGAGACTTGGACTTAAGTTTGAAGTAATATTTTTACATTTCAGTGCATTTAAAAGAAATCTACTTATAACAACAAACTTACTTTTAATGGTAATGGAATTGTTGGCTTCTCTGAAAAATTTCCTTATAGAACTTCGTATGTACTTAAATAGTATGGAGTTCCTTTAAACTTAAAATTTCATTACAGTCTAAGAGAGTTATTTTTTAAAAAACAGCAAGTGGTTTCTTTCCTTTTTAGTATTCAGCTGGGTATTATATAGTTATTTTATTCCTTACCCCAACATGATGAAATGCATAATGTTCATTTCAAAGAAAAGGAAATAGGGGCAAAATTCATAGATCAAATGGGCTTCCTCTTTAGATGCTGAATTTCGGCTATAAAGCATTCAAAATTCACAGGAGTCTGAATATTACATAATTTAACTGTAATAAATACCAATTGCTACCAATGGAGTGAGTGAATGGTGTAACAGCCCAGTTGTTATCCTGGAGAGTAGTTCTCAATTTAAACTCCAATTAAGAAGTGAGCTTTTCACCAAAAGTTTTCAAAGATGTGTCCTCCATAGGATGCTGAACACTGATTAAGAGGAGAGAGCACACATCACACAGATGCCTTGCATCCTGACCCAGAAGCTTTGAGATTAGAGAGGCAAAGCCAGCTCCTAGAGCTGATTCCTTTACTTAGAGCTTTGGAGGGGAGCAGTCCTCTGTAGAAATTAATTGAAGAAGACTGAGTTCTTTAATTGGTAACTTGAGAAGAGGGCTATTGTTAGCTCATATACCATGCACTGCAAAATGGTGCTGCTTCTGTGTGTGCGGAACAAAAAGACACCTCTTTGTTCCTGACATGGTCAGCAACAGGGAAGATTAGCCATCCTGCCAAGCTCTCCTCCTGCTGAGTGCTTCTTCTATAGGCACAATCTGCACAACTGTAAGGTTTGAAAAACATGCATAAGCAAACACTAACAACTTCTGAAACAAACTCTGAAGCACAGACTGAATAGATCAATGCAGATGATCTGCAGCATGGGCAGAGAGAAGCATCACAGAAATTGGAAGAATGTTCTAGACCAGTTCTTAGTAGAGGACTCTTGGCAACACGAAGAATTATTGCCTTAGGATTTGGTTCTTAGGATTTTGAAACTTGGAAATACATTGTATGCCTGTCCTTTCCAGCTTTTCTTGGTGGTGGTGGTTGTTGGTTTGGTTGTACTGGGGATCTTCTCCTATTCTTGTCCAAGAATGAGGGTCTCCTTTGCTGCTCAGTGGTGCTCGGTTATTGGTTCCACAATTCCGAGAAAGAAAAAGGACCCAGCCTTTGGGGTCAAAAATTGATAGCAAAATGTGGAAACAATCCAAATGCCCATCAACTGATAAATGAATAAGCAAAACGTGGCATATCAAGCAAAGTAATTAGCCATAAGAAGGAATGAAGTTTGGACACATGCTACAACATGGGTGAACCCTGAAAACATTATGCTAAGGAAAGAAGCCAGTCATGAAGGGCCACATAGTAAATATTCAGAACAGGGAAATATTTAGTTTTTAGCCTGCACTGAGCCAAAAACCTGGGACTGTGACATATTTCTGGACAGTCAAGCTAAATCTACATATGTATATCACCTGGCTTTTGTTTCTATAAATTGTAACCTCTTCTGTGATACCTGCAGGGAAGCCATCTAGCGTCTCTCCAGTTTAAATTTCCCTGGTCTTCCTTTCATTCTTTGCTTATTTCTTCTGCTGGTGGCCAAATTTGGCCAGCTAGGAGCCAGGCAGGATCCCTGCCTTGAATGCTGGTAACTATAGTTGCCTAGGAAATGGGGGATAGAAAGATAAGGGGTGATAACCAAAAAAATGGAAGCTTTATATTTGAGGTGATAAAAATGTCCTAAAATTGATTGTGGAACTGGTTGCACATATCTGTTCCTATACAGAAAATAATTGAATTGGTTACTTGATATGGGTGCATTATATATTGCATGAATTATATTTCAATTAAATCGTTAGGGGAAAAAAAATACCCCAAAACCTCACTAAAACTCCTGCAAAGTCTAGAAGTACCCTTGACACTACCTAGGAATTCAGGCTCTTCAGATAAAATGTACTATGTCCAGATCTGAGTATCTTTGTGCCCAAGGGAGAATCATCAATGAAGCTATTTTTAGAATACAAAGCTTTCTTTCCTAAAATACTGGAAAGGAACAACACCTTGAACACCACAGGAAACCCATAAATATCTAATTTGCACCACTGCATGATAAAAGTAGCTTGCTTCTTCTACTCGTTAGCAACAGTCAAAAATATATTCTAACTCTTTGCTTGCTAATAAAGATATTTACATTTCCTCTTTGCACCAAATAAGCCCTGTTTATGCCCACAATTTCTCTGCAACTCTGGTCCATTTGAACTGTGTTTGGAAAGCAGGCAGAGAGCTGATCAGGGACAAACACAGTGGTGGAAAGTGTTAAGTGTCATATGAAAACTTATTTAATTAGTGCATTTTGAATTATAGATTCCTAAGTGAATCCAGAACTCAGAATCTATTTCAGGTGTTTAGATATCAGGAATTTAACCATTGTATTCTACCACCCATAACGCATTCTTGTCTTGAAGATGAATTAGTCATTGCAGAGGAAAACTCTTAAACCCTTTAAAATAGAAAAAAATCTAATATGTCTTTATACTCATTACTGTGTAATTTAGTACTTTTGTATGTGTGTTCAATAAATTTTTTAATTGAATTTGAATTAATGGGTCACCAGAGTTTTAGAACAAGGACAAGATAAAATTTCAATAATTGAAATTAATAAAATTGAACACATGATGGATGATATTTGCCATCTGTAGGTTTGACTCACCCTGGGAACTGCCTTATAAACATGGTACTGTTTGAACCAGGGAGTGTCCAGCTGCCAATTAGGCAGCCATGGGATGCAATGGTGCTACTATAAATTGATATAAACAGGAAATGAAAAATAAGCCTTTCTCATGATTTTAGCCTCTAACGAAGCAAAGGACTACCTGGAAGACGTTGCATTGGGCTCACTATACTGAGTTTCTGTCTGGGTGGCAGAATAGCTCAGTAGGTTTTGCCACAGTATACATAAGATATTTAATTTCTTCCCTCTCATTATGAAAAAGGTTCTCCCATGTTGGGATACATGGAGCTTCATATTTCCTGTCATGGGAATAAAATTTTCCTCTTCCCTTTTTCTTGTCTTCCACTGATTAATCACAAGGTACTACCTGTGTGTGAGGTCTTGTCTGAAAGAATTGTGATCCTTCCTTTGGAGGGAAGAACATTTAATAATGATTTCTGTCACTTTCTCCTTAACCTTTCCTCTGACCTAACAGAGCAAGTCTCTTTTTCCCAGGCTTGCCTCTGTCCATCTAGGTATGTGGATGAATCTCAAGTGCCCAAATATCCTAAATGTATTTTCAAATGTGTGAGATATACTTTGAAATCCAATGCCATCTTTACCACACATACAGCTCTTAGCAATTTACAGCTCAATTTTCTGCTTAAAAGGGTGCCGCTTATAAACCAGCAAATACAGCAAGTGACTAATTAGCCAAATTAATGAGGGCTTGTTTACTTGAAGTCCCCAGTGCCCTTGGAACTTGGGATGTTTCGTTATTACAATCTCAAAGTGGTTTCTTCCAATTAATTTTTAACATACGGCTCTTACTTCTTCTCAGTAATATGCAATATCCTAGTACTTTTGAGGGGTTTGCAAGAATTAACTCATTAGTCCTCATAGGGAACCACTGCAGAATTAACACCAAAAGGAATCATACTTTTTTGTTATTGTTGCTATTTATTTGCTAACACTGATTTCACCATACTTTATACTCTATCGGTCTAGAGAAAAAATTGTAAGGAGGAAATATTAAGGCCCATTTTGAGAAAAGAACAGAATCGGAAGAAACTCATACAGATATAGTGATAAACCAGCTAAGGAAAGCCAGTCCTCTTACTTTTAGCCCCATTGAAGGAATAGAGACAAATCTAAATTTAACTAAGCACATGGCAGAAAACTATTAAAAGCCAAAGATAAAGAGAATCTTGGAAGCAGCAAGAGAGATATGATTCATTTCATACAAGGAATCCTTAATAAGATTAACAGCTGATTTTTCATTAGAAACCTTAGAGATCAGAAAGCAGTGGGATGACACATTTCTAGTGCTAAAAGGAAAAATGTTAACCATGAATTCTATATCTGATGAAACTATCCTTCAGAAATAAAAGAGGACTTAAGACATTCCCAGATAAAAGCTAAGAGAGTTCATGGCTAATGAACATGCACGATGAGAAAGGTCAAAAGGTGTACTTTAAGCCAAAATTAAAGGAAACTATAAAGGTAACTAGAAACTATATGAAGAAATAAAGATCTCTGACAAAGACAACGGATTTTAAACCTATATCAGTTTTGGTAGAATATATAAGTATGTAATTTGGCATAATAACAACATGAGGTACAAAAAAGTTTAAGAACAGGGATTTTGTATGCTTGGAAACTTAGAATCAATTGAAACTCTATTATTTGCAGATTTAGCATTTAATAGTAATCCTCATGGAAACTTTAAAAATATACAGAAAAGAAAAAGAGAAAGGAATCAATATGGTACACTAGAAAAAAAAATGAACCAAACATAAAAGAAGTTAGTATTGGAGAATTTGAGAAACAAAATGATATAAACAGAGATCAAATAGCAGAATAGCAGGAGGAATTGTTCTTTTCTCAATAATCACTTTAATATGAATAAATTGAATTTGCCAATTACAAGACAGAAATTTTCAGAACTATTAAAGAAATACCACCCACCTATATGCTGTGTACCACAAGAAGCTGTAGTGAGGTATGCAGCTAGCTTGCTTAGGTGACATGAACATCTGCAGCTCACTGATAAGGGGGAGACTGGTACTGTGCTGATGACTGGATTCTAATCCATTCCAATTTCCTTTTTGACCTAAAAAAATGTAAGAATTCTATCTTTTTATTTTGATTACAATAAATTTCACATATTTGAGTTAAGTTACTATCTTAGTTTGTTCTGCGCTGCTATGACAGAATAACTGAGATTGAGTTATTTATAAGGAAGAAAAATTTATTCTCTCATAGTTCTGGAGGCTGTGAAGTCCAATATCAAGGTATTGGTATCTGGTGAGGACTTTCTTTCTGAATCCTCAGAAAAGCAAGGGAGGGGAAAGTTATGTCCTGGTGTGGCAGAAAAGCAGAAGACATGGGATCTACTCCTGCAAGCTCCTTTTATAGCAAGATTAATCCATTATACCTCCCCAAAGACCTCATCTTCCAACCCTGTTGTACTGGTGGAGTAAATCCTCAGCCCCTGTGTTTTGCAGGAGACATATTCCAACAATAGGAGCTAAAATATTATAGTAGTGAGTTGGAATAAATTTTCAAAACAAAACAAAAAGAAGGAAGAAAAAGGGTTTCTGTTTGTTTTTCTTACAAAACACCCAGTTGATATTTCCCAAACATTATTATCCATGGTCAGGATAATTTACATCTGAGAATCAATAAAAGAGATTTCGTGAAAAGGAAGATTTGACATATGAAATTAATGGAAACATTGAGAGTAAAGGAAAAACGTAGAATCTGTATATTCCAATTATTTACTTAAACTGTAGAGAGGATGGATTTTGAGGTAGACTTTGATGAAAACAAGCCTGGTTTGATGACTTGTGAACAGGAAAGGATATTCCAGGTATTGGGGGAGGTAAGACGGGTGATGAGTGGAAACAGGTATGGAGGCCATGACAAGGAGTGAGAGAAACTCAGTTGCCTTGAGAAAATAAGCACAGATCCCACTCTTACACATTTAGAGTTATAGCTAGTGCTGAGGAGGACAGAGAATGGATTGTGAGTGGCTTGATAACTCTATCTCTTTCAACTTGTTTGATGCATTATCTTCAGATGTTCCTGTTAAAACATTTGATGACTTTTCTGTGATATAAATATGAAATCCAAGCTCTGCTTTGCTCTGAATATTGATGTCTCTCTAAAATTTATATGTTGGAATCTAATCCCCAATGTGGCAACATTAAGAGGTGGAGATTTTAGTATCCCTCTTGAATGAGATTAATACCCTTGTATCAGAGGAGCTGGTTCTCCCCTTGTACCACGTGAGGACACAGTGAGAAGAGAAACTGAAGGCAAACCCCCACCAGATACTGAATTTTCTGGCACCTTGATCTGGACTTACTAGCCTTCAGAATTGTCAGTAACACATTTACGCTATTTATAAATTACCTAGTCTCAAATAGTTTGCTATAACAGCCCAAATGTACAACAACAACAACAACAAAAAAAAAAAAAACAACAACAACAAAAACCCAAAGAACAACAAAAGAGAAATTGGTATTAAGAAGTGAAGAAGAGGGATGCTATTTTAGCAAAATACCTAAAACTGTGGAAGTAGCTTTGTTACTGGGTTATGGGTTGAAGCCTGGAAAGTTTGGAGATGCATGCTAGAAAAAGTCTAGATTGAGGTAAATAGAGCACTGAGTACCATTCTTGTGAGTACTCGGGAGAGGACAGGTAGGGAGAAAGAATTAGCTTTCTTAATGTCATGTAAAGGGTTGTGATCAGAGAGTTGGTAGTAATACGGATGAAAATGGCCATTCTGAGGTCTCAGATGAATATAAATAAAGAACATACTATTGGAAACATCTCAGGGAGTGGGTTGGTTAGAAATCATAAGTTCTACACATTTTTGATAAATCTAGTGTTTAAGTTGAGTAAGTATTTGAAGTTATGACTATTTGAAGACAAAAATCAGAGTCTTCTTAACCTTTCCCATCCCTCAATCTGGAAGTAAAAAGGTTTTAATTTTGTCTGTATAGTTTCTTTGCTTTTCCTGCCCCTGTAGAGTATTCTATAGCCAGATTTTTAAGGTTTGTTATGCAAAACAAGAAAGATAGAAGGAAAGGGTGGATAATGAGAGTCCTCAGACATAGTGCAGAGGAGCAAGATTTCTTTTAGAAAGTTTTGAAGAGAGAGCACTAAGAAAAGTTCCAAGATTTGAAGAAAATAAATGGGAGAAGAAATAAAAATGAAAACAAACATGTAACTGTGGAACACATATATCCTTTTCAAATGCAATTCACAGGGGCCTGGTAATTTTGATATTTCTTTAGTTGCTGAATTGGGCCTTGTCAACCACACACTGCTGAGACCAAATCACATGGTTCTGGCTTCAGCAGGCTTACACATATGATAGTGATGCTCTAGACACTAAGTGAACAGTCAGTACAACTTGAATTTAAAAGCACATTTTTTATAGTCCCTATTTCTGAATCTCTCTCTCTCTCTCTTGTATTTAGAGGTTTTTAAATTATCTCTCAAGACTTCTAGAATTCTATTCTCTGTGAAATCTTTTCCTGGAATTTCTCTTTTACCCAGATGTATTGACTCTCCTTCCTTTGGGTCTCACTTCTCCCTTGCACAGATTTCTCTCATTGCTTTCATAGTACTTAGCTGATTTTCTCTGTCTCTTCAGCTAACTGAGTTCTTTGAGGGCAGGAATCATCTTTGTATTCCCAGAATCTAGCACTATACCCAGCACACAGTAGGCACTTAGTGCACAGTTGTTGAATCAACAATGTCTTAGCCAGCGTTCCTATGCATTATTTTTCTCCATTTTATCCCATGTCTACAAACCACTGTCTTTTACAAAAAAAAAAAAAAATTCTTCCCCAGTGGGAAGGAAGAACCTTATAAAATATCCCAGCAGGTCTTCTGCGGGCCCCAGAATTTGCATTTGTAGATTGTATAGTTGGGAAACAGGAGGAAAAACATCACACAGGAGGATGTGAGTTGTTGTGAGTATTCTAATTTCTGTTTGGTAGTGGGATTGGAGCTGTTTTATTATGTTTTCAAAAAACAAACAAACAAACAATGCATGGACGTGGTAAAAATGTACCATAAACAAAGGGTGTAATTAATCTAGTTCTACAAACTTGAAGTAAATAAGAGTATCTGGGAGTTGTTCTGCAATGGGGCAAAAGACTACAAGTAACATACCCAGTGCTGTGTGTCTCCCTTGCTTTCAAGTCTGAAATTTTTGCTGCTTTCTTCCTGCTGATTTTACTTTGAATAGTCATAAATAACAGTGGAGAGAGTTTTTAAAGTTTGTTTTTCATGCATCGCTACCTATGTAGAGAAGGAGTTTGAATTTCCTTTTGAGGATTTCTCAATAACTACAGGGAATAGTTCTTAAGTTTTAGAGTTCCTACAAATAACTGGAGTCTCTTGTTAACATTTTGAATTTCTGCACCCACCTCCATAATGAATAGACTGATTCATTATGTTTGGTTGTATGATCCAATAATCTGATTTTAAGTAATTGTTCTTGGGGTGAAAAATCATCAAGGAAAACATGTCGGCATATGACTTTGATCCGGCTGTCCTTGGAATATCAAACTGAGCTTCAGACTTCTAAGTGGTATAGAGATATATCAAGACACTCCCAAGAAGAGTATCAGAATGGTTAGAGTAACGGAAGGATTGATTAGAGGCATTTACCAGGTTTAAAGGATCAAACTGTGCCTAATCCTTAAAGCCTGGCTCAGCAACAACTAATGGGAGATGTGTTAATGCTATACAAATATTTGAATGGCATAAACATCAAAGATGGAAAGAAATTATTTAGCTTGTCAGAAGAATGGTTCAAAATGACCTCTAGGTTGAATCTAGGATTAGCCTGCTAGAGGTAAAGTTGTCAGTTTCAGAGTCAAATCTTAACAGAAGTGATAAATCAATAGAGATAAAGGTGAGAAAAATTGAACAACAAATGAGTTCATTTTGCTTATATTTAAATGCCAGTGAAAGACTCCCCCGCCCCATTTTTCTGTTCTCCACTTTCTTTCTGTAACATTCAAACTGGACTTCCCTCCCATTTGTTCTCATACCTGGCCTTGATAGGGTTTATCTTCCTTCCACCTTGTTCCTGGGGACATAGTACTCGCCAGTTTTGATCCCTTCCACTTGCAATTGCTAGTCTCCCCTTTCCCTTCATTCAACAAATATTTATGAAGGACTTACTTTATGTATCTTTGATGTATCTCTTAAGGTACTAGTCTAGGCAATGAGTAGCAAGAAGAGACTCTCTGTCCCCTGGGGAGTTTCTGTTCTGATGGTGCCCTACTCACCATGTTTCTAACTGGAATGGCTGAATTATTTTGCCATCTTTGTCCCATCAGGGAGAACACAATAGTTCTTGGTTGTGAGCTAATGCTAGAAAATAGGTAGCAGGGAGAAATGGTACTGTGATAGAACCCAGCACGAGTATCTTCCTTGATCCAGTCTGACTTTACCCTTCATGTAGAGGGATCTTTAAGCCAGCAGACTAGTCATTCCCCCCAGCGCTGTGTGCTTCCTTCATGGCTGGCAGCTGGTGAGTAAACAGATAGGAAAAGATGACTCTCAGGTAACATAAAAAGAAAAAAATTCTCATGTAGTAGTGAACTTAGTACCATCAACCAACCAAATCAATCAATCAGTCAATAACTGTTCTTCCTGTTTTCTAGGCTTCCTCTCCTTTCCACCTCTTGCTGTCGATTGCTCTGTTGTGATTTCCTCTTGTAAGGCTGAGGATCACTTAAAAAACTCAAACAAAAGCCACTTGATTCCAACCATACACAAATGTTCCAGAGAGGGAGGGTAGAACAAATGGATTGGAGCTTGGCAGGGTGCTGATGACACCACCCAAATGCACACTCTGAAGTGTCTTGTGGTTCAATGTAGGCTTCCACTCCTCGAGTTCTCTTTGTGTTCCTCTAGTGTGGTGGGTTCTGTGCTGTTAGCCCAGATTCAGTTAGAGCTAGAGCTTGAGATAAAGCTTCTCAGCCTTGGTAATTCCCTGTGAGACCAGCATTCACAGGCGCTGACGCTTTTCAAACATTAATTCCTTTAAATTTCACTATAACTGCACATAAGCCCCATTGT